AGAATACTATAGAAATTTTTCTAAAATTAAATTTTATTTTTTCAAAAGAAAATCCACCTCCTTTATCCCCTTCCCCTGCTTTCATAAATTAAGAAAAACTAAATCTCCCATTACAACCATTTATAATTAAGCAAAACAAATTCCCAGATTGGCCGTGTTCAAAAAAGATCTCTCAGTCTGTACTCTGAACCCATCCCCTCTCTATCAGGAGATGGGTAGTCTGTTTCATCACGAGTCTTCTGAAACTAGGGCTGGTCATTGTGTTGCTTGAAGTTCCTAAGACTTTAAAAGTCTAAATAGTTCTCCTTGTTTTGACCACTTCACTCTGCATCAGTTCATACAAGTCTTCCATGTTTCTCTGAAACCACCTCTTTCATAATTTCCTATGGCAAAATAATATTCTATTACATTCATATACCATAACTTGTTCAATTCATGGCTACCCTCTCAGTTTTTAATTCTTTCTCAATGCTGTGTATGTGTCTATACACATATACATACATACACATGTGTATACAGGTGTGTCTATCTGTCTGTCTATCTGTCTCCTTTTCTCTTTGATCTCCTTGGTGAATAATAGACTAGTAGTAGTGTTGCTGGGTAAAAGAGTATGCACAGTTTAATAGTTTTTTATATATAGTTCCAATGTACTTTCCATAATAGCCAGACCCATTCATAACTCCACTTATCATGCATTGATGTACCTATTTTTCCAAAGCCCCTCCAACATTTGCTATTTTTCATTTATTTAATCAACTTTGCCAGTCTGATGGGTGTAAAGTATGAGAAAATTTCAATATTGTAGAGACCAAAAGATCCTCCAGATAGCTCCTTTATTTTATAAGCCTGTATGGTTAGCTGGATCAATAGGTATAGTGGATCTCATCGATGCCAGTGCTAATAAATTAGCACTAGGCAGGGGCAAAGAATGCAAGAAGTTACTACAAAATGAATAAAGTTTTAGGCAATCAGGTTGAGTAATCCAAATAAATAGTCAAATATTTGGTGATCTTAGCCATTTGTTTTCTGTAAAATGGTATAGGATCCCTGATCCTGTGATAGTTGATCTTTTCAAATGTCTTAGCCCCTAGAATCTAAAGGATCTTTCGACATTGAGGTGCCATTCCAATCTGGCTTTTGGCCTTGTGCTTTTTTTTCCCTCACCTCAGAACTTGCCTATTATAGGCAAGAATTGACCTTTTTGAGCCAAATTCTTGCTTATTTGTGTTGGGTATAGTCTCAGAACACAAGCAACCAAATAAAAAGACTAAAATTTGAGGAACCAGATTTAACCTTTCAAATGATCAACACCGAGGTACTCCCTGCATTTTCATTTCTTAATCTAGTATGGATTTCCTGGCTCTGAATCACACTCGTCTAAAACTCTTCTCTTTAGGTGCTCCACAGAAACCTTAGTACCAGCCCAGTCTGAGTTTTCCATGTATGCTTTCTTACCTCATGGTCTGTACCTTGGCTCTTTGGACCTCTTTTGTCTTCAGCCATACTTGGTGATTTGCCATATTGCTGCCCTGTCTTGATCCTGCCTTGGGCAGGATTTCACAAAAGTAACGCTCTTCTGAAGTGTATTCTGGTGTGGTTGATAGGAAATATAGACTCTAGGGAACATATTTCTTTCTCCTTCCCTCATCAACCCCAAAAGGGGCACTGGAACTGGAAGAAAATAAGAAAAATCTGGTTTCCTTGTCCTATACCATTTGAGAAATTGTCTATTTAGCCCTCAGTTCCCTAGTATATAATGAGGATGAGTATGTTTGTAGTAAAAAAAAAATGCTTTCAAAATCACATGTTCTCTTCCCAGATGATGTGATAATGAAAATAATATAACTCCTTTAAGATTTAAGGTCGTCAATTGTTTACTGAGTTCCCTTGAACATTCTCTGATTTCATTTTGTGGTCTTGAATAGATGGGTCCTCTTAGTGGGCTCCCAAATCTGCATGCTGATTAGATTAGCTACTTCCTATGTTCATTTATTCTAGGAGCATTCATGAATCCAAATCCCTTATCTCTATTATCAGCCACAACTCTTGTTTGTGAACTACACCCCTCTTGCCTGGATTATTGCAAAAGTCTCCCTACCTGAAGTCTTTCCCCATTCCAATCCATCTTCTACGTTGATGCCAAAATGACTTTCCTAAAGTGCATGTCTGACCCTCACTCAGTGGAAATCATTGTCACACCCTGAATAAGTTCCAGGGGCTTCCTTATTACACCTGATTGCTCAGTGTCTGGTCAAAATTCCTGTTGGAAAATCAGTGACTGGCCAATTGTGAACTTGTCAATATATATCAAACATAGCTCCTCTTTTTGGCATTCAAAGCTCTTTATAACCTGACCCCTTCCTATCTTTTCAGCCCTCTTACACATCATTTCCCTCCTTTTGTTCTGTAGTTTAGCCAGACTGGTCTATTTGCTCTTCCACACACGATACCCTATCTCTCAATTCTGTTTTTTATACCAACTATCCCTTATGCTTGGAAAATTCCTGGCTTCCCCAAAGACTCAGATAAAATCTCACCTTCTACAGGAGGTCTTTCCTAGTTTTCCCAGTTGCTAGTTAATGCCTTCTTCTCTAAGATTTCTTTCTACATACACTATAGTAATTGTGTCTATACCTACTTATATATATATATTGTCTTTATTAGATTGTGATTTCATTAAGGGCAGAAACTGTTCTTGCTTTTCTTTGTATCCCTAGTGTTTAAGATAGTACCTGGTACATAGTTAGCATTTAATAAATGCTTATTGATTATAGGATCATAGATTCAGAAGGAACCTTAGAAGGGACCTTAAAGGTCACCAACTTCAATCCATTTTACAAATGAGGAAATTGGAGGGCAGCTAGGTGGTTCAGTGAATAGAGTACCAGCCCTGGATTCAGGAGGACCTGAGTTCAAATCCAGCCTCAGACACATAACACTTACTAGCTGTGTGACCCTGGGCAAGTCACTTAACCCCCATTGCCCAACCAAAAAAAAAAGCCAAAACAAAACAAATGAGGAAATTGAAGCTGAGAGAAATGCAATGATTTGCTTGAGGTCACACAGATAGGGGCAGATTTCCTTGGGAGAATAGGCAAATGAGAACAATATGCTGATCAGTTGAAGCAGCCACTGTGGAGCACTTAGAGCTTGATCAAACATCAAAGGCACCAAGGTAATCTACTGCATTTTGGGTCATCATCAGTCATCTTGACTTTTGTCCTGCCACTGAACTCCCATGACTTTGGAGGAGAAACTGAGGCTGATGATGGTGCAACTCTGCCTCATTTAAATCCAATTTACCTACAAGTCAAGACATCGTCCCGTGACGTCATTGGTCCTCTTTGAAAATGAAAGACAAAAACCATGACAGAGCTGGAATGTGAACCCAGTTCCTTTGACACTAAATCCATTGTTTTTTTCTACTGTAAAGTGCCCACTATGTGCTAGGTACTGGGTTAGGCAGTGTAGATAAAAAGACAAAAATCATAGTTGCTGCTCTCAGGGAACTTGAATTCCATTGCAAAGTATTTTCCAGGTAGCAATGGTTTCACAAGAGATAGAACTAAAGTCTTGATTTGTTGTTGTAGTAAGATTCTTTGGGGACAATTTTCATCAGCGTGCACACACAATAACATGATATGACTTGAACCAGTGATAAGCAATAAGCTATTTAATGGCAGTTTTTAAAAAAGTGTGTCATGCAGTTTTGAAATGAAAGGCCAGGCCCTTACCATATAGCTACAGTGAAAGGGGCCATGGTATAGGAGGAGTCTGTGGCATGTGAGTTTGTGTGGCGGTCATTGATTTTCCATCATATGGTTTTCTGTAACTTGGTTCCCCTTTGCTCGTCTCTCCTATTAGACTGCGTGGTTCTTGAGGGCAGTAACTGTGATTTGCCTCTTTTTTATCCCCAGCACTTAGTACAGTGCCTGGCACATAGTATCTGCTAACAAAATGCGCATTGTCTGATTCAGGTCTGATTGATTCTGATATCAGCAGTTTTAGCATAAAATAGTATAATAATTACAGGCTTTATCATGACAGGGGTAATTCTGAGTGTATAGTGAATGATGGCCTTCATTAGCCTTCATTATGGGGTTAGTGAAGAAGGATAAACCCCTGGCTAACAGGAAGATTGTCTGGGTTGAAAGAACTTTAGTCTCACTGGACCAGTTTTGAGTTAAATAAATATTTTGTGAGGAAAACCACATTTTGTATGTTACATGGTTCCTCATTCCTCCCCCCCCGGCCCAAAATGTAGGGAATTCTTGATGAGGAAATACCCCTACCAATCCAGATTGGCAACTTTTCTACAACTTACCATCTTAGAAAGCTGCAAATGGACAGTGAGACTCTATACGTACAGTAAAGCTCCATACATTCTAAGGACACTTATGATTTACAGGCATAACTTGTATTTTTTTTTAAGCAAAGGCCAACCCAAGCTGTATTAGCAGTAGTGATGGTAGTCCTATTTCATGTAGAGATGGGTTACTTTAACTGTATTAGAGGGATAGTAACCAAGCCAATGGTAAAATTGAAATCGGAGCTTGCTACGTGGCACTGGGTGCTGTTACTTCCGAGGTCCTTAGGAATTTAGGACCCCGTTTACCTGCCAGCCTCTCATGTTATTTACAGCAATGTAATCTGCTTGCAGCAGGACCTGATTGCTCAGTGTCCCGTCAAAATTCCTGTCAGAAAATCAGTGACTGCCCAATTGTGAACTTGTCAAAGTGACAAGTGGCCACATTGACAGAGATGGTATTTCCAGGTTTTGCATTGAATGAATGCCGCTGTATGGCGTGGTGGATGACTCTTGAAAATGAAAAATATTGACAGGGGAGAAAAATGAAAAATGTAATCTGTATCCTGTGGTCTGCAGTTTTACTCAGGGTGTTTTTCTTCTTTTTGTCTCTTTTCTCTTCTTCTTCCCTTTCCCTTTCTCTCTTCTACTCTTTCTTCTCTCCTACCTCCTTTTTCTTCAATTAAACTCTTAGATGTGGAAAGAGAGATCCATGCAGCCCCACATGTGACTGAGAAGTTAATTCAGCTCTTTCGGAATAAAAGTGAATTCACATTCCTGGCTACTGTGCAGCAGAAGCCATCCACTTCAGGAGTGATTCTGTCTATCCGAGAACTGGAGCACAGGTAAGAAAGCATTCTTTCCTTCCACTTTCTGATTAGAGACTACCAGTTGACTATGAATTGAATGGCCATTGTAGGTTTCTGTTACAAGGATACGGAGTTGGCAAGTTAATCACGCTCCTGTTGCTACTAGCCACACCTTGGTAAATTCTCTTGGGGTTGATACAATAGGAGATTATTTTTTTTAAACCTCTCCAGGGATTGTGAGTGACTGCTATTCTCTCATGTATATACTCTACATATGAAAAATCATAGCTTCCTTTCCGCCAGGGTCTTAGATAATCAGTTTTGTTAGTTTCCTTTGTTACGGAGTTCAAAATGATGATTACAGCACAGCAGACCTTTTTCCATTACCAGGCTTTCTTCTGTTTCTTAGAATCAATAAATCAATTTCTTTCGGGCACTGTGCTAAGTGATGTGGGGGGCAAATATAACCCCCAACTCTCAGAATTGGAAAGTACCATAAAATCATCTAATCCAAAGACCAGGAGAATAGTGTGAGACAGTAGGAACAACATGGGCTCTGAAGTTAGAAAACCTGAGTTCAAATACTACCTCCCATGATTACTACCTGTGTGACCTTGGACAAGTCACTTAACCTCCTTAGGACTTAATTTCCTCATCTGTAAAATTAGACACTTCATCTAGATTGCCTCTGAGGTATTTTTCGACTCTACATCTATGATTATATGACTGTGACATTGGGCAAGTCCCTTAAATCCTGGGCTTCAGTTTCCTTATCTGTAAAAGGACTTGGTTACCTCTGAGATCCCTTCCACATCTGCATTTATGATCCTTTAGTATATAAGAAATGGTCCCTGCCTCAAAGGAACCTACCATCTAGTTGGGGAGACAAGGTGTAAATAGACGAAAATTTAAAGAATTACACACACACACACACACCCCTACCCAATGTAATCTCAAGGATGATTACAACATTGCTATAAATAGTAAGTGATGTGAGTTCAGAGGAGGGTGAGATCACTATGGGTGGACATAATCTAGGAAGATCTCTTGGACTGGACTGTGCAGGGTGGATTGGTATTGGTGGACCAGGGTGGACCAGGAATTGGATTGGTAAATATAGAAGAGCAGGGAGGGCTTTCTCTAAGTTAGAGGAGATATCTCAAAGAAAGGCATTGAGCTTAGAAAGTATAAGCTATATACTTGTTTTAATAGCTTAAAACCACTCTGAGACTTTGTAACCATCCATCCATCCATCCATCCATCTATCTCTCTATCATCTATCTAACTTCTATTACTCCATCATCTATTTATCTTTTTATCTATCTGTCTAGCTATAGTTGGACAATGTCTTGAGAAGCAATGATGTCTCAGTCCATTTGGACAGTCTCTGAACTAAGGTTACTAAGGATTTAGTGTTATCAGTGATGCAGTAGCAAAAGAGAAGGGTGGCCTGGTGGGTTAAAAAAAGGCTAATCAGAAGACCTAGGTTCTCTTCCTGGCTTTTTGTTGCATGGTCTTGGGCAAATAACTCAATTTACCAGCTTTTCACATCAGTAGGATGAGGTAAATATTTTTCTGTCTCCATTGGGATGTGGTTTAGAGTCAGGTAGATTTCTACATTTTGAGTTCTAGAGGTATAATAGTAATTGTAGTTATCCTCTACCTCTCCTGATTTTGGGTGGGAAAATATGTTAAGATGCTCAGAAATCAACAATACTTCTCATTCAATAAACTTTTGCACTAATGCATTTTGAAAAGTGACCGACAAATCTTGGAGTCATCATAAAATGAACTTCAGACGGTCTTAATTTTGAGTAAGAATCCTCAATAAAAATGTTAAGGGGGAAAGTTCATGCAGATCTTATTGCTGCCTTTGTTCAAAAAGTTTCAAAAGAAAACTGTCCTTCTTTGGAAGGACAGTTAATGCACCGAGGAGGCAAAGTGTATAGAGTGCCAGCCTAGGAGTAAGGAAGACTTAACTTCAAATCCTACCTCATACACTTACTTGATATGTGACCCTGGGCAAGCCACTTAACCTTTCGTAGCCTTAGTTTCATCCTTTTGTAAAATGAAGCAGCTGGATTTGAAAGCCTCAGCATTCTTTTCCACTTTTAAATCTGTGATCTTATTACCCTATGATCTTGTAAGGTCATTTTTGATAGTCATAGAATTGTAGAGTTGGAAGGGATGTCTGAGATCATCTAGACTAGCCCATCTATAACTGAAATATGAATTCCCCCTGCAGCATCACCAAGAAGTAGCCACTCAACTCTTCTTGAAAGTTTTCTTGAAAACCCTTATAGACATGAATTCACTACCTTTTAAGGAAGCCCATTTAATTTGTGGACAGCTGTCATTAAGAATTATTTACTCATGAAGTGAGATTTGTTTCTAATATCAACCCATCAATCATCCTCTGATATAAAGCACAATAAGTCTATTCACTCTTTTACATAACAATCCTTCAAGTATTAGAAGACAACAATTGCATCCTTTCTAAGACATCTCTTCACTAGATACCAGCAATTTTTTTTTTTAGCCGATTCACGTTGAGCATGGCTATAAGTCTGATTAGCTTCTTGGTCACTCTCTAGGCACATTTCAGTCTATCAATACTATCTCTAAAATGTAGTGCTCAAGAAAGGACATATGATTGCAGATTTGATCTGATTATTGTAGGTGACAGTGGGATTATTTCATAGTCCCACTGTGATCTCTTTGTATACAATATTTCTTTTAATGAATCCTAAGATCTCATTAGCTGCTTTCAGCTCTTGTATCATGCTGATAGCACATATTGAGCTTGTAGGCCATGGAAACGTCTAGGTCTTTTTTTTTTTTAACACGATATCTTTCCTAGCCAGGTATATTTCATTCTCTAAAGATGCCTTCTGCTTTTTGAGTCTAAGCGTAGAACTTTAAATGTACTTCGATTAAATTTTATCTTATTGCATATGATCTATTTTGCCAATATGATGAGATCTTTGTGGATCCTGATACAGTCATCCAATATATTAGCAATCTCTCCTGGCTTTATATCGATCACAAATTTGAGATGCATGCCATCTGACTTCATCCAAATCATTGATAAAAATGTGGAAGAGACAAGGGCTGTGGACGGGGCTTTGCAGCACTCCACAAGAGACCTCCAACCAGCTGGACATCAGTCCATTCATTAGCATTTTGAGCTTTCTCAACTTTTGTTGCTAGTGAGTTGTGAGTTATTGACTCTTGAGTAGGCCCAAGAATTCCCCTTTTGCCTTACATTCCCATAAAGCAATCTAGAAATGGGGCCTTAGGAATCTGAGGCAGGTGCAGTGAATTTTATTACATGATCTACCCAGGAAATTTTATTTATAATTTTTTAAAAGGCAAACATTTATTGAATACTCAGGCATAAATGATGTTAGTTTTACTTATCAAAGGAAACTAAAGAAATTAAAACTTAATTTACCTAGTTTTTGTTTAAATCAGCACCTAAATGGTCATGATAAAAGTTTCTGTTATATTAGCATAGGCTTTTCAAAAAACTCCTTTGATTCAAACCTTCCCCTTCCTCCTAAATACTGAACAATCTTTTCTTTTGGGTTAAAAAAAAAGCAACCCCAAACCATACACCTTTCCAGGTAGACTCTGCTCCTCTCACACTTGGATCTGAGGCATTTTAGGAACTGATGTCTATCCCTTTAAAATGAACATTTTTTAACTCTTATGTTCCTTTCCCATAACAGTCAGAGCCCCAGGATCTCATACTAAGGACTACGTCATAAAACTGCAACAACAACAACAACAACAGATAGCCAAAAGGGTTTCAGAATATGTAATTGATTTTTCCTGACTTGGCTGTAGGTGGCTGGAGTCCCAGGCCAGAAAGTCTGGGACTTGTTCCTAGATCCTTCCTCAGACAAACTGCCATCTAACTATGTCACCCTCATCTTGTGCTTGTGACATCATGTTCTGTGAAAATTTGGCTCATTTTTGCAACCTTTCATTGGGTTTGCCAATGGACTTCCCGACAGGCTCTGTTGGGTTCTTCATTGCTAACTAGAATATGAAAAGAACAAAAGTGACTGCAGAATACATGGAGACACCAGGGAAGCTGCCTTGCCCTGTAACTGTTGCAAAGAATTGGGCCAAGAAATTTGACTGTAATAGCCATTAGGGTAGAGGGAAACTACTTTTTGAGAAAACATTCTTCTTGGGGTGGAAATTTAAAAGAAAAAGATTCCCATTGCACTTACCTTCTAGTAATATTGAATTTCAGTCCAAAATAGTGGTGGGTTCATCAAAGATGAGGGTAAGAGAGTTTAAATGGACTGAAAACCCAGACCTAAATATGACTGCCATCATTTTCATCATGGAAGGTAAGCAACTATTCCACCTTCTTTTTGCAAAGACTATAGCCAAAGATAACTTATTTACTGTTGCTGGGAGGAAAGCTTGTAACACTTTGCTAGTCCATTGAAGAAGATTCTACTTAGAAAATGGGGTTCCTTCTATTGAAAAGCAGGTATTTCTCCCTTTCTCCTGATGTGTATACTATGGCCAGAGGCAGACCATTTGGAAGGTTTTGGCTCTTGATTCAGAGACTGAGCTCATTGATATAGCAATATGTGGAAAATCCCCAGGTGATTAAACCAACTCAGTTCTCATGAATATCTTAAAAGAATGGATAAAACATAATGAAGAACATGGAGATAATGGCTACTGGGAACTTACCTGAAGGTAGGAATTGAAATAGGCTGTTTCATGTAATGAAACGGGTACTTGGTAATACTTTGTTATTCATACTAATCCATAATGTTAATTTGATGGATTAAAAAAAAATCTGTACCCACTGAATGCAATGAGAGAATAACAAAGATAAATTTGTCTTGCTGAAATATTTTAATGGCAATGCAGATTTAATGTTTATTTATCATGATTCAAATGTGTTTTAATATGAAGATTTGTTAAAATGGAAAGCTTAATTAACATAGATTAAATCTAATTGTACAGTCAGCCAGAATGTACAACTATCTAGATATAATTGTAAA